TACAGGGACCTTTGTTGGCCCTTTGTTCGCCTGGCCGCCGGATGGTCTGGTTGGCAACGGAGGTGTTAAGAAAAAAAGTCCAGATAAAAAAAAGGAACAAACGGAAAAAGAAAAGACAGGAAAAAAACTAAAGAAAAAAAAGGAAAAGTAAAAAAAGAAAGTGAAGATGGATGTGTGAAGAAGTTGGTTAAGAAGGAAACGGAAGATGGATGAGATAATACAGCATTAAGTAGGGAAGGGTAGATTGTGATAAGAAAGAGTGTTAAATGCAAACAGAAGCTTATGTGTGCGACACCGGATCTAGTTTGATTAATAGCAATGGTGATGATGTTGAGATTGGTGAAGTGACGAGGCGTGAAGGAGATTGTAATAATATCTTGTTATAGAATTTATTCAATTCAAGGATTTCTGACCAATTTTCTTTTGATACTTTGTTTTTCCATCTGTTCTTTGCATAGAGAATATGGGCCTCGCTCCACTTCCACCATTCAGCAAATGTGCAAAATGAGAATGAATCTTCTGCTAGAACATGGAAATATACACCGCCATCTCTTGTCTTTTGTGCATGTGGCAAGAAGTTGAGGGTGGCCCTATATCAGCGTGTATTGTAGTGATGGAAGTTTTGTCCAGAAAAAGAAGAAAGGGAGAGAATAGACGTGTGGGAATGCCTGCTAATAATGTATCAAGGGGGGAATATGGGTCCCAACTCTTTACCTATGGGCCTAGACTCGCTTGTCATGTTGAGATAGGGGGCCACCCACAGTCGAACCTTCTTGACTGAATCTGATTGAAAGTTGCAGGTCGATGCATATCTGGATGTCCTTGCGTGAGAGTATATGGCAATTACTATATGCCGTAAGTTGCGGTCATTGGTATCGAAAGGTCTATAGCCCTAATGCACTTAGCAGTCGACTTGGTGGGGTTGCAGTCTCAGGTGGCCTTCTGATGGCTATACCTGGAATTGTGCCTGCTTGTCCTCACAGAAAACCTCTCTGTTGTCACTTCCTTCGCTTTTTTCTTTTTTTTTTAAGAAAGCCATTCAGATGGTGGCATCTGGATTCGAACTTGAGTCCGTATTTCAACAGCTCACTCGTGTACCAACTGCGCTAGGCCAGCTGGTACTTCCTTCACTTTTGCTTGTGCTGCTTACACCTAAAATACCAGGGGACAGTAGAACGTCATTGGTGGACTGGATGTTTCTGTACGCATGTTGATGGTCACATTGCCTCTGTGGTGTAGTTCGAACTTCCCTTCTGCTTGGAGTAAGATAGCGCCCTTTCACAATGAACTAGTGTTTACTTTATTTTTCACCTTTTTAGCTAGGCTACCAGCCGGGCTGCCCGGGTCACCCTGTTTTCCCGGGTGGCCCGGCCGTGCAAGGACCAGGGAAGGTCCCAGCAAAAAAAAAAAAACTGCAGAAAAATGAACTGAACAAATTTTGGCTCAGGGTCACATTGAAATTCTTTACCAATTAAAAAAAACAAACAAACATATATATAATCTGCGGGGATCTTTGTCTTACCGACAACCTTCTCTGCCACGTCGGCGGTGTTCGTCTTTTACGCGCCGACCCCGCCAGATCACATCTGGCAGACCTACCAAATTCTTGTGGT